TGGTAAAAAAGAAGGAATCAACGTATAGGTGGAGAGCTGGATGGAGCAAGAGAAAGGGGATAATTGATGGCCTAAGGTTGCAGAGCGTAGGTGCAGAGCAGTTGGCCTTGGAGAGGGCAAGAGAAACCACTTCTTTTGAATGTAGAGGAAGATGTGCCTGAAAAGATTTGAGGTCTTGAAGTCAGAATTTGAGGAATCCATGGTTGGTGGACTAATATCTTAATAGCAGAGGAAGCCAGTTCCTCTGGGATTGAGAGGTAAAGTTAAATGAGGAAGGAAAGTGACTTCATTGGTGATACAGAGGTTTGGAGGCAGTTCTATGGAGAATGGCGAGTTAAATGAAAGGAACATGAAGCAAATCTGAGGATACACTGGGCAGTTCAGATCTCTCTATATTTGTGCTATTTATCTAATGTCAGTATTGGTGAGTAATAATAGCTATTGATTGAACTCTTTAGTTCGAGGGAGTTCTTACTACGTATCATAACAACTTCATTGTATAAGGACGGGTGCTATCATTATCCACCATGATCTTTGTAGATCAAACTGAGAGAGGTCAGACCACACAGCAGCCAAGGAAGGAGATTTGAGCCCAGCCTTTCTGACTGCAGAGTATAGTACCTGCCTTCCCTCTGTTTTCTGCCTAAGGAAAGCTGGCTTAATGAAAAGTTGGCGATAGGCAGGTAGAGTATGATGGATGAAGTGGGAAGAGTGCTGAGGGTGCCAATGTGTGTCCTGAAGGTAACTGAGGTAGGTAGGAAAAGAAGTGAATCAGAGGCTGGTAGTGCCAAGTTTGGGAGTGGAAGTCAATGAAGAGGTTTAGATGAAATTGGATAAAATGAAATATCAGGTATTACACATATGCTTAGAAGGGAATGGGTTAGGACTTCCTTGGTGATCCAGTGGTTAAGACTCTGCATTCCCAATGCACAGGGCCCGGGTTCAATCCCTGGTCAGAAAACTAGATCCCGCATGCTGCTGCTAAAAGCCTGCATGCCTCAGTGATGATCAAAGTTCCCACCTGTTGCAACTAAGACCTGGTACAGTCAAATAAATAAATATTTTAAAAAAATATTTAAAAAAAGAAGAGGGTGGGTTATTTAAGGTATACCATTTTTCATTAAAATCAAGGCTATATAGTCACAAAAATGAATAACTGAGGATCAGATGGAGAAAATTTGGGGGGTAGGGAAGGCCGGAAGACAGGAGATCTGGATAGAGCAAAAGATCTTGACTTTACTGCTACAGTGACATTTTTCCTATTTGTGATACTATTTTATTAATTGGAGTATTGCTACCTTAGCTTCCTTCTTTTTTCACCCAACATAGTTATAAATTGTAATCTCTCTCTTATCCTACAAATCATTTCCGTTTTGTAATTTAATTTCAAAGCAAAATATTTTAAGGTCTTTTTTAACAGTTTAATTTTTAGTTTCTGAGGTTGAACAGTTTCTAGTTTAGTCATGACTAATGCAGTCAAATTGAATATTAAGATACATGGATGTATTTCACTCCATTTTATAATTCAACCTCTAAAATATAATGAAGCAACATTAGGCGATATCATTTCTTTAAGGAGGAAAAAGTAGAATAGAGCAAATACTGAATTTTTCAAAAAATATGCTTTTTACTTGAGAATAATTTTAGACTTTCAGAAAAGTTTCAAGGATGATTCAAAAGGTTCCTATATACCCCACACTCAAATTCTCCTAGTGTTAATATTTACATTCGTATGGTACATTTGCCATAATTAGTGAAATATTGATGCATTATTATTAACTAATGGCTGTAGTAGTTCAGAGTTCCTTAGTTTTTACCGAATGTCATTTTTCTGTCCCAGGATTCTGTCTGAGATACTACATTACATTTAGTTGTCACTTCTCTTTAGACTCCTGGTTGTGAGTTTCTCAGCCTTCCATTGTTTTTGATGACCTTGTCAGTTTTGAGAAGTCCTGGTCAGGTGTTTTGTAGAATATTTCTCAATTTCGATTTGTCTGATGTTTCTCTTGGGTGATTAGATTCAGGTTATGCACTTTTCTGGAGGCTTACCTGGTGGCTCATTGGTAAAGAACTCTTCTGCCAGTGCAGGAGACGCGGGTTCCATCCCTGGGTGGGGAAGATCCCCTGGAGAAGGAAATGGCAACCCACGCCAGTATTCTTGCCTGGGAAATCCCATGGACAGAGGAGCCTGGCAGGCTATAGTCCATGGTGTCAGAAGAGTTGGCCACGACTTTGCAACTAAACAACAACAGTGGGGTTTTTGGAGGAAGACCACAGAAGTAATGTGCCATTCTCATCCCATTATGTCAGGACTACGTGCATAAACATGGTTTATCACTGTTGATGTTTACCTGTTCACCTGGCTGAGGTAGAGTTTGTAAGATTTCTCAGTTTTTAAAGTTAGTGTTTCTACCCCACTTGCCTTCTACACTGAACTCCCTGGAACAAAGTCGTTACGCATAGTCCCCTATGTGTATGAACAGTGGAGTTATGCTTCATGAACTCTTTGAGGATGCATCTACATATTTTGTTTGCAATCATTCTGTACAGAGTATCTTTTCTTCCCTTTTCATTCACTCAGTCATTCATTTATGTTACCATGACTTCATGGATATTTACTTTTTACTTTGAGTTTAAAACCAATACTTCCTATATTTATTTTGTTCAAATTGTTGTAACTTTTGCCATTGGGAGCTCTTTCAGTTGGTTTCTTAATCCCTTTGACATAAATTCATCATTTTGTTCTTTGAGCACTTATTTAGTTTCTGATACTAAAAACAGTATTCTGGATTTTTATTGTATATTGTGTCCCAACCCTAGAATCTGCCTTTTCTTAAGGAGGCTTGTTTTCTTTTATTGGAGACTGGTATTAGAAACCAAAATGTGGGCCCTGGGTGTGCTCACTGCTCCTGGGGCATCATTGTTCCTATGTCCTCCCAGCTGACAACTTGGAAATATACTAACCTGTATATACACACATATCTATAATTATTTCTCTCTATATATCCATCTATATCTGTGTTAAACTAAGTATGAGTTTATACTGAAGTTTCCAGCTCTAATCCAGGATCATATGGATCAATCTAGCCTTTTACACTCAATTGTCTGTAATTTCCACTCCAGCAATGAGAAATCTGGTCCCTACTGCACCATCAGACAAATTTATTTGTTAAATCCTAATATACATGCATAATGGTTTCAAAATTATTAACCTGTTCCCCCTTGAGATAATACTTTTACTAGCTAGAGTACAGTGCCTATGTATAGTTTTTTTAGTCTTACAGTCTATTTTCAGAGTTAACCTGGGGTCCCCTGGGAGATTTTATTTATTAATTTTTTTTTAAAACTTGCATACATTCTTCATGCTGTTCTGTGAGTTTTGACAGATGCATATTGTCAGGTATCCACTACTACAGTATCATACAGAATTGTTTCACTGCTCTAAAATATTGCCCATGCTTCACCTGTTCTATACTCTCCTTCTCTCTCTCAACCTCTGGCAATCATTGTTCTGTTTTGTCTTTACAGTTTTGCTTTTTCCAGAATGTCATATAAATGGAATCATACAATTTCCATACTGACTTTTTTGATTTAGCAATATGCATTTAAGATTCACCTATTGTGTTACATGAATTGATAGTTTGTTCCTTTGTATCACTAAATAGTATTTTATTGTATGCATGTACCACAGTTTGCTTATTCATTCACATACTATGTTGTGAATAACATTGTGAACCAACCTGTAACATTTGATTACTTCCAGTTTTTGGCAATTATGAATATAATTGGTGTAAACACTTGCATGCAGGTTTTTGTGTGGATATATATTTTGAAATCAATTGAAAAAAGTACCTAGAAGTGTGATAGTTAGATTGTGCATTATGAATATGATTAACATTTTAACTGCAATGCTATCTTCCAAAGTGGCTTCCATTTTGCATTCCCACCAACAATGAATGAGTATTCCTATTGTTCCACATTCTTGCTGACAATGCATATTGTCAGATTTTTGGATTTTAGTCATTCTAATACATGTGTAGTAGTATGTCATTGTTTTAATTTACATTTTTCTAAGGACAAATGATGTTTAACATCTTTTTTATATACTTTTTTCCTTTTGTTTATCTTCTCTGATGACGTATTTCAGATCTTTTGCCCATATTTTAATTGAGTTGTTTCCTTATTTCTGAGCTTTAAGAGTTCTATATATATTTTAGATACAAGTATTTTATCATATATGTATTTAGTAAACAATCTCCCAGTGTTTGGATGTCTCTTCATTTTCTTTTAATAGTGCCTTTCACAGAGCCCATTTCTAATTTTAGCAAAGTCTAGCTTATTGATGTTTTTTTCTATGGATTGAGCTTTTGGTACTACATCTAAAATACTATCATCAAACTGAACCCAAACCATGCAGATATTTTCCTGTTTTTTTCCTAGAAGTTTTATAATTTTGCATTTTACTTTCAAGTCTGTGATCTGTTTCAAGTTAGTTTTTGTGTAAGTTGTGAGGTCTCTGCCTCGATTTATTTTTCTGCACGTGACTATCCAATTGTTCCAGCACTGTTTGTTTAAAAGACTGCTTTTTCTCCATTGAATTACCTTTACACCATTGTCAAAAGCAAGTTCAGTATATTTGTGCGGTTTATCGGTGTACTCTCTGTTCTATTCCACTGTTCTATTTGTTCTTTTATCAATGCCATGCTGTCTTAATTATCATAGCTTTATTGTAGTTCTTGAAAGTGAATCTGTCAACTTTGTTCTTTTCAGTATTATGTTGACTATTCTAGGCCCTTCCTCTTGTCATAGATTGTGTTGGCCAAAAAGTTTATTTGGGTTTTTCTATACCAGCTTAGGAAAAGCCTGAACAAACTTTTTGGCCAACCCAATAAATCTTGCGGGGGAGGGGGGGTGTTCTGAATTTTAAAAACTGTAAACTAGAAACCATTAATCCTCAAAGATGCAGAATAAATGAGATGTTTCTTTCATTTTTTTCTCAGGTGGTTCTTTGAGGCTCTGAAGTATCCTAAGTTTTCCAAGGCTAATGTCATCAATGGAATACTTATGACGGTGGTGTTCTTCGTAGTGAGGATTGCCGCGATACCTCCTTTCTACAGCTACATGTACTCTGTGTTTGGAACGGAAGCCTACGCGAGGCTTGGATTTTTAATTCAGTTTTCCTGGTTTGCCACTTGTGTGGTTTTGGATGTGATGAATGTCATGTGGATGATCAAAATTTCAAAGGGGTGCATCAAAGTCATCTCTCTCTTAAGACAAGAGAAAGCCAGAAAGAGTCTTCAGAATGGAAAACTTGACTAAAAGTGGGCTATTGATAAGCATACTTCATTGCTACCCACATTGTATCTTCCGATAGGATAAATTCTTGGCATGTTCTTGTGCTTCTTTATTAATTATACTTGGTATTCATACTTTCAGTGTCTTTTTTTCTTAACCATTAGAAAAGAGAAACTAAAACAGTTTTTTTTCCCCTCAAGATTTAATTTCTAATTTTCTTTTGCATTATAAGCATGGAAAAAATCTTAAAGATTTAAATAAAAATGTATAAATATGGTCGTGAATCTTTTTGGAAATCTGTTCAGTGGCATTGGTACTTTTCTCTGTGAAAAGATGACTATGCTAATTTGGTACACTAGGTTTTATGTCACTGATTTTGCTGAAAGAATGGGAACTGCTTTTAAATCTGTAAATGGCTCTCCACATTCTGATGCACTGTGCTTATTTCTTACTATGGCTGTCAATTCCTGGAGTAGAGTTTGATTTCCAAATTATTGAAATGTTCTTTTTCTTAGACTGTTAGAAGTGATGTCTTTTTCATTTCAATTTGCTATCATCTACTAATAATGAAGTATTTTGCTTGCTTTGGAAACCTTTAATTAGTTTTCATGGGAAATATTTCCTACAATTTTAGATTTTTCTGACATCACTTTATTATATCTGTTTTAACATTTATCAAATTATTGCTTTTTTCTTCAGTAGTAAAGCTTAAGACCAATCTAACAGAGCTCCTTAAGAGATGAATTCTTCCTTCTAAACATGCATGTTCTAAATGACTAGTTAGACTAATACGAGGATTCATTAAGAAAAAGGCTTTAACACTGCTGTCTCTATCTGCTTCCTTTGCATTTTTTTTTTGAAAACTATATTATTTCTATTTGCAAAACCTCCCATGAGTTCTGAACCCAACATTTTTTAGCACCACAGTCTTGTGCAATATATATTTATCGTGCTCCTAAAGTAGGCTTCTTCTTGATGAGACCAAAACTGCAAAAACTAAATAAGTCAGTATTCATATTTTACTCACAGTTTACACCCATGCTTACTAGCATTTTGAGTGCTTTGAATTTCTGTCTTTCTTAAAAGACAGGCAAAAGATAGATAATTTAATCTAAGCATTCTGATTATCAATACTATTTTATATGAGGATAAGTGAATGGTGACTTTTTTTCTGTTTGTGTATGTGGGTATATGTTTGCTTTTGTTTTGGTCCTTACAGCCCAAATATAAAATAACATAGTTAGCTATTATTGTCTTTATTTTTCTCAAGTACTTTACTTTAATGATCATTCTTACCTATGGAAAAAAATTAATCAGTGGAAAATACTTGAATCTAATTGAACCCAAACCAAAAGATCTGATCCATTCAGTTTCTCAGTTTGAATGAGAATGTGTGACTCACTCTGATTGTCCATGTTATGGTGGTGAAGGAAGACTAGCTGGATATTCCAGGACTTTTGATTTAATGTGATTTGATTTGACTCAGCTGTCTGATGCAGATAGGGCCTGATAAGTTATAGAACATTTAAAGAAGGTAATTGAAATCTCAGTCAGTAACTAAATGATAAATTGAAATTGATTGGCTTATACCAGTACACTTATTTTTGAAAGGCTTTAAGTAATGTAAAATGTAAGTATTTGTTTTCAGATTTACTAATATTACATTGATAATTTGTTACTAAATTTAGTCCCTTTTACACATAGGCACTTAGACACGGATTGGTTGTTTAGAGGGAGTATGAAAGCATGTGGTTTTATCTTATTCCTTTCTTGCTCTTTTGCAAGAAAAATGGCTTTCAAAAAGGAAAACACTTACATTAGAAAACTATTTTGGAAATTCATTCCTTTAGAAAGAAGCAAAATGTGAAATAAATAATTTGTACTATTCAGATATTTCTATAGTTTCTGAACACAGATTTCAAACCCACCATCAATATGAAGAAAATATAATGCTATATAATATGAGTGAGTTTCCATATAGCAGTTTCAGTTTTTATAGTTGTTATTTCATGCTTAGAACTTTATTTTTACTTTCACTAACAGCACCTTTCAGTAGTATAGCCCCCCACTAAGTAAGTATAATTAAAATATCAATGTGTAGAACTAAAGTTTGTTATTCCCTTAGTCAGCAATTCTTATTTTATGCTGGCTGCATGACAGATAATTTAACATCCAGATTAAATATCCAAAATAGATTCTACGTACTTCCTCATACAATAGATATGAAATGGAAAAGACACTATAAGCTGCCACACTACTTTAAGTCAGATCTTTACAGGAGCTATACTTTGCTGTTCTGTGATTTTATCCACCTGCCTGAGATACAAGTAGTTAGTAGAACATTTCAGTTATTAAATAATGAATTTTTCATTTGTTAAATGACAAACTTTTGCTAGACATTTTACATATTAAATATTTTGACTACATGGATTAATTTAAATGATTCTATTGATATTATGCATTCTGATATTAAACAACTGTTAAAATATTTATAGAAAATGAAAGCAAATTGGTATAAATTTTTAAGCAACTCTATTTTTGTAGAAAAAGGTTAGTGACAACCTGTAACTATATAAATGTTCTCTGAACATATAGTACTCTAGAGAATAAAAAATTCATACAAAATTTTGAAAATGAATGAAAATCAACTAAATATCATGCAAGATCATAGACTCTGTATTAGATATTTTATTTGGGAGAATTTAAAAACTATGAGCTTGAGTTTATAGAGTCTGCATTATTGTGTCTAAAATCTTTTTAATGAGTATCATTTGCATTTATTTAAATCTCAGTATGAATCTGAGTGCAGAGAAATGAACTCCTGCTTAAATTGTGTCTTGATATATCATAGTAAGTTGAAATGCAATATTTATTCTAACTGTTCAGTTTTGTTATTTTATGGATTAGTCTTTGTTCAGAGAAATAATGTTTTTATCATTCCTAAGGGTGGCTCATATACTGTGGATGACCCAGTACTGTTGTAAAGATCTAGTTTTAAAAACTGCCTAGTTTATAGGTATTTGAATCAAATTCTTTTCTAAATTTTAATGACCTATTTGACTGAATTCAAAATTTTGCTGAAAGTATCAGTTTTTAAATTATATATTTTCTCTGAGGTGCACTAGGCCTTTAAGGAGTGGTTCTTCCCTTTATTGTTGGGTATACCAACATTGTAATCATGTGTTTAGAAATATTCTTCTCATGGAGATATATAGAGGGAAAGCATGTTGTAATATTCATGTTTGTTCTGCTTCATTTTTAAGGAAAATAAACATGTTCCAAAAGACACTATTAAAATAAGTGTTTGAATAAATTTCAGTTTCTATGTTTCTCTTCACTCCAAATATGTAAATATACATTTCAATTGGCTTTAAATGGTTTAATCTGTTGAATCAAATTTGAAAGTCTGTGTCATTGTTGACATCATCAATTATACTTCATAGAAAATTATGTATTTATAAGTTTTGGATTCTATAAGAAGCAAACTGGTATAATTTTATCATAAGTGTGACAGAGTGTATCTCAAAAGGTGCAAACCAGCATAGCCCAGAGACCCTCCTGTGAGGAGAGGCCCTGGGCGCACACACACCTTCCTAGCCTTAACTACAACTGGTTAATGACAGACACACTAGAGGTACTGAAAGCAAATTCTGACATAAAACGTGTGATGTGAGTGAGGACAGGGAAAAGCCAGTAGGATCTAAGGTTGGAGGAGATAGTTATGACTGCTTTGCCCTTAAAAACCGTGATGTTCCTCCCTCAATCCAGAAGTGTTCTCTCCAAATCTTTTGAGCCCTTCCATCTCATCAGCACCTCCCTCCTCTATGCCATCTTTCTATGTCAACTTTTGAGGCCTCCCCAGGTGGCACCAGAAGTGAAGAACCTGCCTGCCAACGCAGGAGAGATGTAGGAGACATGGATTCCTTCGCTTGGTGGGGAAGATACCCTGGGGAAGGGCATGGCAATCCACTCCAGTACTCTTGCCTGGAGAATCCCATGGACGGAGAAGCCTGGAGGGTTACAGTGCACAGGGTCTCAAAGAGTCAGACATTACTGAAGTGAATTAGCATGTGTGCAAATGTGTAAGCTTCCCAGCCCCTTGTGGGAAATTTAGAAGTTCATTAGTATGTTCTTTCATTGAGGGGAAAAAAAGCATTGCTGTAAGTTTCAGTAATGAACAGACAAACCATAATTTATTAAGAGGCTACAGGAAGCCATTTAACATTTAATAATACTTATTTGTAACACCAAGCAAAGCTTATAATGTTATGGTTTTATTGAGAAACATCTTTAGGTGTCTTTTCCTTAAACTGGTTTAGCAATTATAACTTGTTTCAGCTAGGGATTCATTGCAGGCATGTAAATTATCTAAATGTTCTTCCTTAGACCCTCTGATAGGCGAGGGAGGAACTGAGGTGGTTCTGTGTTATGAGGAGGGTGTGCTGATATGTCGCAGCATTATTGAGTCTTGCTCTTTAATCAAGCAAATGTAGTCACAGTCCTGTTTCTTTCAAAAGTGAGTTCACTGCGAGTGAATTACTCAGGGTGTTTTCTGAAGTACAACACCCAAGGATTTGAGCCCTGTCTCATTTTAGCCCAGACCTCAAACTACCGCTGTTAGCTTTGTATGGTTATACCTTTCTTGGAAGATATTTTGGCAGTGAAACTAAAGATTGGTTTGTTTGCATAGAAGGTGTTTACACTGATTCCCTCCAAGGAGTAGACAGTTTTAAAAATCTTAAAGATATAAATACCTCTGGCTGAAAACTCGTTAATTGTCATTTGCATGTTTTTTCTTTTATATATTTATGTAATTCTTGCTGTAATTAAGTATGCATTAAGGTATTTGCTACTTGTTGGTTAATGAAGCATAAAAAATATAACTAAATAAAATGTGCTATATATTTTTCTGTTTCTTGCTTGGTTTGCTTCCAGTATGATTATGTCTACTTTTTACTCATGGACTTTTGGCACAGATAATACTCTCTTACTAACTTGTAACTGGGGTAAGTTATGAGAATATT